CTTCTTCTTCTCCTCTGACTTCTTCCCCTTCTTCTTCTTCTTATTTTCCTTCTTCTTATTCTTCCTCTTCTTGTTATACTTATTCTCCTTCTCCTTTTTCTCCTTATTCTCCATCTTCTTGTTCTCGTAGTTATTCTTCTCCCTTTTTTCCTTCTCCTCCTTCTTCTTCGCTTTATTCTTCTTCTTCTTCTTGGTATCCTTCTTCTTCTTCTCCTTTTTCCTCTTCTCCTTCTTCTCTTTCTCCTTCTCTCTCTCCTCCTTTTTCTTCTTCTTCATCATTTTATTCTCCTTCTTTTCTTCTCCGCCTGCTCCTCGTTCTTTTTCTTCTTCTTCATCTTCTTCTTTTCCTTGTTATTATTCTCCTCCTCCTTAATCTCTTTCTCCTTCTTCTTCTTCTTCTTCTTCTTCTCTATATTTTTTTTATTCTTGCTATCCTTCTTATTCTTATTCTTCTTTTCCTTCTTCTTCTTCTCTTTCTCATTCTTCTTCTTCTTCTTCTTCATAATCTTCTCCTTCTTTCCTCCTTCTCCTCGTTCTTCTTCTTCTTGCCTTCTTTCTCATTTTTCTCCTACTCGTTCTTCTTCTTCTCCTCCTTCTTATTATTCTCTTCTATCTTCTTCTTATTCCTTTTCTGTTTTTTCTTCCCTTTCATATTCTCATTCTTCTTCTTCTCCTCTTTCTTCTTCTTCTCCTTCTCCTTTTTCTTCTTCATCATAATTTTCTTCTCCTTCTTTTCTTCTCCTCCATCTCCTCCTTATTATTTTTCTCCTTCTTCTCTTTCACTTTCTTCTTGCAATCTTTCTTTTTCTTCTCCTACTGGTTCTTCTTCTTCTCCTCCCCCTCCTCCTTCTTGTTATCCTTCTTCTCCTTCTTCGTCTTCTCTTTTTTCTGCCCGTTCTTCTTCTTATTATTATTATCTTTCTTCTCCTTCGTCTTCTCTTTCTTCTTCTCCTCCCTCATCTTCTTTTCCTTCTTCTCCTTCTACTTCTCCTTCTTCTTTTTTTATTCTCCTCCTTTTCTCCTCGTTCTTCTTCTCCATCATCTTCTCCTCCTTTTTTTCTTCTCATTCTCCTCGTTCTGCTTTTTCTTGCTTTATTTCTCCTTTTTCTCCTACTTGTTCTTCTTCTCCTCCTCCTCCTTCTCCTTTTTCTTCTTCTTCTTACTCTTCTCTTTTTTCTTCCCTTTCTTATTCCTGTTCTCTTTCTTCTTCTTGTTCTCTTTCTTCTTTTTCTCCTTCTTCTCTTTCTCCTTCTTCTACTTTTTCTTCTTAATCATCATTTTCTTCTCCTTCTTTTCTTCTCCATCACCTCGTTCTTCTTCTTTTTCTTTTTCGTTTTCTTCTTGCTATCATTCT